TTGGGTTTGAGTCGGGGGGGGTGTGGGGGTGAGAGTCGCTGGCAGTATGAATGTTTCCTTACTTACACCGACAAATAGAACCACACCCACACGCAAACCCACACACGCCCTCAATGTCAAATATAAGATGTACATTTCTATCGATTACTGATTGAAATATAATTTTGACATATTTAATAAAGAGAAAAATATGATATTGTCTCCCACTATATCTTTTTTTCTTGCTCTTACATGTAACTGAAGAAAAGTTTGTAGTAAAACTGCAATGTATTATGCTCAATATTGCTATAACCCTTTCTCTCGTTAATATTTTCCATTTTAAGACAATGAAAACTGATCTTTTTTTTTCTCCGAAAAATTCTTATTCGTCTCATCTGCCATATCATTTTTTAATTCAATTGAAACAAATCTTGTTTATTGATAATCAATAAAAGAATTAGAAAGATGACAAAGGACTGGAATAAAAAAATGCATAGAAAGTTGAAAATGTAATGAGTTAATTAGAGATAAATTTCAGCGAATCCATATATGAATTCCAAAACTATCAGTTTGAGATTTAGTCACTGTGGATGTTGATGGTAATTGTTCATACAACCATTGAACAAGCCCATCCATTGCAGATGATACTGAACCATTTTCCGGCCAATAATGATCTATAGAATGAACATATAATGATCGAAGATTTTTCATATTATTAATAAGACGAAGAATGTTTTTTCGATTTTTAACCGTAATAAGCAAAACTTCGCATTGAATACCTAAGGGTGAACGACTCAATTGAATACATTCCTTTTCATCAAAATGATAAATTTGACCATTAAAATAGAATCGTATGAAATCCAGTCGACGAACTGAATCACTGCGTAATCCTGTAAGTGGTGCTTCAGAATCAGATCGTGCCCATGTACTAAATTCGAGTGAATAGAGGCAAGGTGCTTGGTCAAGTATAAGTTGTAGTTGAAATTGAATATTATTCAAATTTTTGTTCTCTTCGATGTACACAAAAATGGATCTAAGTCGATCAAATTTTGAAACAATAAAGAAAAATCGTTCATTAAACGGCAATGAAACTGAAAGATGTTGAAGATTATTAAAACGAAGACGAGATCGAATCGGATCTGTAAAAGATGAAGATCCATAATTTAATGTCTTTACACAAGGACATTGTAAATAATTCTTATCATATAAAGCCGTCGATTTTGCTAAAAGACAAATATTATCTTCCCAAAAACTATCAAATGCATATGGGACAGTAAATACATCAATAAAATTAAATTGTTCCTTTTGATCGATTGTATACCAATGACATCGAATGAACCATTGATGTTCATTGATCCAAAAATTTGTTCGATATGAATCAACGATTTCATTTAATTGATTTTCTTTATTTTCATTATTCGGTGGTGTATATCTCATTTTCACTTGAAACATTTTTAATTTTGGTAAAGATTTTTTAATAATATCTTCCCATTCATTTCCATTTATATAAACATTTAAATCGCATTTTAATTGATATAAATTCGGAAGATTCTGTAAAAGATGTTCTAACATATTCCCTAGACCATGGAATGTGATATTTAATCGGGTAATTGAATACATCGGATTTAATATTTGTAATTCATTGTATTCAACTACAAACCAGGTAGAAAGATGTCGAAGATTAGGTGTGTGTCGATATAAATCAGCAAATCTTGATAAAGAAAAAATATTATTTGAAATAATTAAATATTTTAATGATTTAGAAATAACTGGTGAACTTGAAGAATAACTTTTTGTATGAGAATCGATATTCGTATGACAATATTTTAGTTTTGATAAACTCCATATTTGATTAAAGAAATGTTGTTTATCACTTTCACTCATTTCAATGGTACATGCGGTTAAAGTCAAATGTATCAGATAAGGGAGATTAGAACACTCCGTTATGATTTTATCCAGTGTTTGTTTGCATTGAAGATTTGATATTGATATTGATTGTAAATGAAGAAATTGACGAAGTTTATAATCATCACTAGACATAAAGGATTGAATTTGCTGTGGAGTTTCATAATCATTTGAAAGATGAATTGAAATAATTTGATTGATAATTGATGGAATATAATTTTCATATATTTCATTCACTTTTCTTTTTGATAATGATCTCAAATCAAGATGAAATTTTTGAAATTCTTGATAAAGTAATTTATTCAAACGTGAGTTGAGACCAGAGAAATACTGGAAAAGTTCAATAAGTGAAAAATATTCAAATAAATTCAATATTATTGCATTTGGTAATGATGTGAAATTCATTTTAGATGTATTACACCCTGAAATTGATATAAATGAGGTTTTAGTTATTTTTTCTACTAACTGCGTATGTTGGAAAAAACGTCAATGATGTTGTTGTTGCTCTTTTACTATATATTTGCTTTGTGATCACGTTTTTTTTCTTGTATCACATGTCATTATAACACACGAACGCAAGAAAAACTATCCTGGTTTATTTTCTTCTTTCTCATCATAAAATTATTCATTTGATAGGTCTCTTAAGATTTCATGTATAAAATAAATTATCTAATTTTTGTAAAATTATCTTGAAAATGTTTGCCTATAATTTCAAAGTATTCATGTGGTTTATTTATTGAACTAAAATATAATGAAGATCATCCTAGTTTCAGATAAATTTCTATGGAAACCATCATCAAATCATTTCTATAGAGAAAAAAAGGTACTTGTCATTCTTATTCCGAAGTAGATACCGAAGAGGCATTGTATTTCTCACGAAATCGAAATAGTACGATCTCTTATTCTTTATTTCACCAGACTTTTTTCAACGAATCCATATGAGAATACATCCTATTCCGCGATGTTGAACATTGCGGAATCAGTTCCACCCAATTCCAGAAACTCCCGGAATTAAGTCCAGTTTGAATTACCAGTGATTCTTAGAAATTCCGGGAATTCCGTCCAATGCCGGAATTGCAGAAACTGGTTCCCGACCAAAATCACACGGAATTTCTAGGGATTCCATCCGATTCCATTCAATTTCGGTTGGACGGAATTCCGTCCCGATATTACTCCAGCCTCACCCTCATGTTGTGCTGTATGATTGTTGATTAATATATTACACAAGTGAGCGATTCCGGAACGGAATTTCGGGAATTAGATCGAAGCGGAATTGGACGGAATTCCGTCCGACTTCGGAATTGCAGGAGCTGGTTCTCGACCGGAATCTGATGATCATTAAATTGATAAAAGTTGATAGAATAATAATAGAAGTTGTAATTCCGGAATTAAACAGAATTCTTAGGAATTGTTACGGACTCGGTTTGTATTCAATTCCGGAATCGGTGGAATAGGTTCCGAGGCCGGAACTGGTCCCGCAATGTTCAACATTGCGGAATAGGATGACTGCTCGATCAAGGTCCGAAAATCACTACATGTATTGAAGGTGGTCAAAGAACAGGGGAGCATAAGAAGCCGATTTGGCCCATATAATATTTTCAGTCACTTTACTGCCCATCCTATTCAGAAAAATGTGGTGATACTTTTGGTAATAATTTCAAGTGGAGCTGTAAGGATTAT